GTCGTAAGTCACTTTTTCAGTGCCGTTGCAACTTTGAATGTCCACTAAATGAACTGTCATAAGTCAAGGACTACCTGTACAGTAAATAGGTGTGGTAAATAGCTAATAAGTAAACTAGTATTACTTACGTTTTAAATGTTGTTCGAAGGCTTTAGCTCAAAGTGTTATTTTTGATAGAGCACTAATACAAATAAGTTTTTCTTCATTGCTACTTATCATGCTACATTACAAACAGATGTTTCCAAGCTTCCTTCTAATCTACAATAAGTAATCCCTTTAACTAATTTTTCCAATATATTAGATATAAGTTTAAAATAATCAATAGTACCATGATTGTCTTTAATATATCTTATACATTTAATTTGCATTTGTACAACCTATAATATAGTTCCTATAGAGGTTCTTTAGGCTGTAAGTTATAATGTTTAGAATCTGCTCTATTCCGACTTTTTCACCACCGGGGGGAAAAAATAGAATAACAGTTCATACAAATAGCTAAGTGAAATAAATATTTTTCAGGGGGAAAAAGAGTAATTATTATTTCTAAATAAATTCAAAAAGGCACACAATATAGTAGATTTACACTTTGATAAAGCAGAATCAGGTTGAAAAATAGCTAAATCGTTAGCTGCACAATTGGTGTGTATTCTTTTCTTCCTGCAATGAATGAAATAGATTGCTACCAATGTGAGATGCCATGTTAGTTTTCATATAAACCTTGGTAGCATTGTCTTTTCCATTTTGACACCCCCCCAATCCCCATCTCCTATGAACATTTCTGCTTATTAACTGCTTTTCTAGAGGTTTTCCATACTAATTGCATGGGGCTTCAAATCGTTCCTTATAACCTTGGAGTTTCAAGGTATCAGGAAGTATCAGGAGTTCTAGGGAAGCATCCGTGTTAACACACAATCAAAACTAATTTTCAGTTGTGATAGCCTGAAGGGAAAGGGCCACCTAAAGTGGTGGGATACGACCTGGTACAGGCGTACTGGTGCCTACTGGGAGCATCAAGTACTGTTCTGGTATGGTTCTCCAGAGGGGCCACCTGCCCTCCCTCCCTCCTTACCTGTATTTGAGCCAATTGGGGCTTACAAGCACGGCCATGGAGTGTACGGCACCTGTGCGATGCTCCTCCAAGCAGCTGGAGCATCGCGGAGTATCACGGGCAGTAAGTACACATGCGCGCGCTGCATGCATGCTGCAAACGTGTATGGTGGACACCCGGCCCTGTTGCACCGTACTGGCTGCAATGGGATATGGAACCCACCACTGTCCATCTGCATAAGTGACTGCCTTCATTTGAGCATGGCTAAGACTCAGAAAGGGTGCAGCTTTGAATAAGTTCTTTCATTGAGCCATCTCTATTGTATGTTCTCTTCAAACTTAAATCGACATTTATGGTCACCAGTCACAGTTAAAACCCGGGGAGTAGACAAATATAAAAGAAAACTGTCCCTTCCTACTGATCTTGTGATTCTCTTCTGTTGGAAACTTTAAAGAAACGCATTTTAAATATTGGGCATTGGCTCAATCTTAGGCAGCTGATTAAATCAGACATGTTCCAGACAACTGTGTGAAATGTATAAATGCCCTTCTCTGTACAACTAAAAGCAGCTCATGCTAGAGGAGCCTCCTAATATACACACAGCTGCTCTGGGTTGTTTCTGAGATCCTAAAGTGCACTTAGAGCTCAATTAGCAATGTAACCTATTGATCTGCCTTTTGTTTTTCACTACCTAAGGGCCTTAGAACAGATTTACAGATTTTCATAGCAATCCCCCTTTACTGTGTCTATGGAGATTCTCTCAGTCGTCCAGGTCAGGGTTATCCCAAAGGTGGGGTGGGGGGTTGCCTCTTGAAAAAGCACCTTTGGGTTCCCTTTAGAGTGTTGGGGATTATCAGATGTATTCAGAGAGATTTTTTTTTTTTTTTGCAAAAAAATACCCTGTTTTGGTACTTTCTGCAAAGATGGCTTTAGCTCTTTCCATCTTAACAGATCAATAATTAAGATTTCTTAGAAAACATTTCTGTTACTAGAGATTATTCTTAGATTCTTTTTTCAGTCACATAAAATTTCTGCAATTGACCAGTTAAATGATTGTGTAGTTCAATATAATTTGTTTATCATGACTCTTTTATCAGAAGTGCACACAGACCTAAAATAGCAGAGGAGTTCATCCAGTTCGGTAAGGGATTTCTTTTTCTTTTTTTTTTGCATCTGTCATATTAGGCCATTTAATTCTATTTATTGGTTCTCCAGTCAACGTGGGCATATATTCTTCTACCTCTGTGGAACTCTTTGGGCCATAACAATTTCAGGATCAAAGGAAACTCGTCAAAAGGCAAAATTAATTGATTTATCATCTTTTTATGATATTTTAATGCCAATAAACACTGTCTTTACTGTTCATCCAATCTCTTTTTTTTTTGCAGCAATTAAACCACCAGCAGCAAACACAGGGAAAAGACTTGATAGTTTTGTTTTGTTTTTCTCCTCTCCCATAGCAGCAGCAATTTCAATTAGGAGATATAGTTCTCAACTTCAACTGCTCTAAGCTAATGCATTGTTCCCAGTTTCCTAGGATTCCTAACTTCTGCAGCAATACCAAAGGGAAGCAAAAGCCCTTCATTTTTGCACATCCATGCTGCTTAACAATATATGATAGTAAATGGGAGAATGTCTGCCAAGACTAGTTCTAGGTGTTGCTCAGACCTGATGAGAAAATGTGATGTCTTTTCCACCTCATTTTTTTTCATTTCAGCCGGTGAATAATTTTGGTAATTTCATTTAGGGTGTTGCTTTTATAAGTGCCGACACTTCTTATGCAAACATGTACTGGAATAAATTTACTAGTCTCCTAAGCTTATATATCCATTAGGTTCATACGTTTAAGACATGTTTTATATCTATAAGTAAAAAAATTAATCCATTTTGGAATGTTAGGTTCCTGAGCATCAGTATGAAATTAGATTATGTACAATTGAATGAATACAGAGATGGGGAAGCCATAATCCTCCAGATTTTGCTGAAGCTCCATTTCAAGATGCTCAACTGGTTTGTAAATAGACATCTGGGCAGTTAGTGGTTGCATATTTCTGCCTCAACAAAATTTCTTTATTGAATGAGCTAGAAAGCAAATTTTGAAGATGCCTAGACCACAACCCTCAAAGGACAGGATTTCTTCTTTGTATTAACTATGTTCTGTTACCAAAGTGATCAAAAGCTATTTAGCATTTTTATGACCCTGTAATATCCCAATAAAAGGGATAATACTTTATTAGGGTGGAGTCAGGGTAATTGAATAGAACTGAGCCCTTACTAGCAGATACCTTTCCTGATGCCTATGCAGAGTTCACAGCAGATATTTTCTCTTTGCGCCCTGAGAGAGAAACATCTGTCACTGCCTAGGATTGAATTCTCAACTTTCCAAGTGGGAGGTGATTGTTTTCACCTCTAGGCCACCACACCACTGCAAATAAGCAATATATAATATACTTAAGTAACATATAATCCATTATCCTCCATGGTGAAGAAAAGAGATGCTGCAAAATTTAGAAGTCTGTTGTCCTATTAAAATGAACTGGAAATAATAAGCAATTCAGTTGTGTATGCCATTGTTTTCAACTTTAAAAAAATAAATGCAACAATTATAAAGAATCCATGCTGCCATTTCTTCAACTACACTGCAAAAAGAAAGAAAGAAAGAAAAAGACAGAATAAAACACAAAACAGTAGACTATAAATCAAAGTACCTTCTCTCCATAGCCTCTATCTTTGGTCATCATTTCCCTGAGTGTCTGTAATACTTTAATACAAAGTTTCTCCTCATTCTCTTCCAGCAGCTGCTTAGTATGTTTTATTAACCTGAAAACAACCAATTGATCACAGTTTGTTTCAGTACTAGAAGGTCTACTCAATTAGGAAGGCATTTGTAGGTATTTGCATTAAAGGTGATAGAAAAAACCAATTGTCCAAAAGACAACCATATTGTCATTTTTTCCCTTCAAAGAATAGTTTTTTTTCAGATATATATGTGAAGCAATAAATAAACTTTGTTCCATACCCCTTCTGCATAGAAAACTTTGAACTGCAGTATAATCTGCTCTGAGAAAATAAAGTTGCACAAACGTGGAATAAACGAACTAAAATTAAGCAGCTCTCTCATGGAACAACAATATTTGTAGCTTATTTCATAAAATACAAGTTGCTTCTCATGGCTTAAGAACTAGGAAGTTCTGAGATGGTATATCAGAAACAATAAACTATGACACATTGTTATATTTTACAAGGATTTCTGAAGAAAGCATTAATTCATTCATAGCAATGCATTCTAAAATCAGGAATAAACATATTTTTCAAAATGGACAATTTGTTACGTTCAGTAGCAAAACTTAACCAGGATTCTCATACTTAAACTAAAGATAAATTTTACCAGAGATTTGTGGTTGCTAACAGAAGGAATCATTCTTATGTTTTTTGACCAGATCCCATGCAGTCCAGCAAATATAAAAAGCATGCTGCATTTTTACATCAAAATGATGAGAAAACTTAATATGCCACATTATTATGTCACACACATTTTCTTACAGGATTGAGAGACTCCTACCTATCCATCTATCCTCAGACTAATTTTTCACTGACACAATATTGTCATTTTCTAAATAAATAACATGGACACCAAGGCCTGATTCACGTAAAATGCTAATATACAATGTGGTTTGTATATGACTGGTTTAGCATATGGTGTGAATGATGCTGTTGTGGCTTTAATAAACAAAGACTAATGCAGTATATGAATCCAGTCATTACGTACTGTGTAATGGCACATGATCTGTAATACAATTTTATTAAAATTACTTTCTGTTTTCAGAAGCCATTATTACCAGCTTCAATAACATTAGATCCATGTGGGAAGCTACTAGAATCTTACAAAAAAACAGAAACAAAGCATGATAACAAATTGATTGCAAAATAAGATCAATATACCCTAACCCATATTAACAGTTTAGAAGAGAGCATGAATTATTTTAAAATAAGAAAGAAAATGCTGACCCTCAACTTACTTGCAGATAAAACCTCCACTTTCACATTTCCTTCTAGCATCTGTATTTTCTGGGAAAAGCAGTTCTGGTCTATGAAGAACATCCACCAATACAGACAATTCAGCTTGGACCAGTGGCCGTAAGCGATCTTCCAAAGCTGATACTATATCCTGAAGTAGGTGTATAATTAGTTTGAAACTTACATGGACAAATCATACAGACAAGTACTTTTTAAAAACAATTATGCCAATAAAATAAGAATATGCTTAATTAAAACAAGATTAATACATTATAATGGGAACCTGCAGAGATAGATTTTATTGTTTCCACATTTCTCTTCTCATTGTTAATAGAAATAGCTTTCTTTAAAGTTACAACTACTAAATACTTACAACACAACACTGCAAACATTTATTCAGAGTGCTTCCATTTGCTTACAAAAATCTGTAAACGGGCATTATAAAAAACAAAATAGGCATTTTATACTAATATTAATTGCATATATTACATACCAGAAGTGAAAACGTTGTGTTGCCAAAATAAGATGGCCAATGGAAAAGAGAAAATACAGGGGGGAAATTGCTGAAAGAAGACTGAGATGAATATAGGAAGGGAATATAGGAATATTGAAGGGCTGAGGAACATAAATGCAATGAAATGACTTGGAAATGAGCACAATTCACTATAGCCCTAATTAGGAGCTTTTCCAGTGAAATCTTTTGTTTATAACAACTGAGATCACCATAATTTGATCAGCCCCATTTGCATAAGACATCGGTATCCAAGCATCCAGCTTCCATTGAAAGGCATCTATTCAGTTCAGATCCTTATGAACTGCTAGAAGGCAGTTATTTTCAACATTAAGCAAAAGTAAAAAATATAGAGACACAATCTGAAACTGACAATAAGTAAAAAATAAATAAATAAATACTTTTAATAATTAAAAATGTGGATGTATAAATTTAAAAGCAAAATAAATAAAAAAAAACCTCAAAAGGCAGACTCTCTCTTTTTCTGTTTTCTATCTTTCTGCTATACATAAAATAGTAATATTTTATAATATTTGTGAAAGAGTCACACTTGTGATCTTGTGTGTGTAGAAAATGAACATAAACTGAAATGGCCATCAGATAAGCGAGATGTTAAATAATAAAGATGCTAAAGAAGTTCCCCTCGCACATATGTGCTAGTCGTTCCCTACTCTAGGGGGTGGTGCTCATCTCCATTTCAAAGCCAAAGAGCCAGCACTGTCTGAAGATGTCTCCATGGTCCTGTGGCCAGCATAATTAAATGCCGAAGGCACACGGAACGCTGTTACCTTCTATTTTTCTACTTTCATTTGTACATGCTTTCGGATTGCTAGGTTGGCAGAAGCTGGGACAAGTAACAGGAGCTCACTCCGTTACGTGGCGATAGGGATTTGAAACGCTAAACTGCCAAACTTTCTGATCGACAAGCTCAGCATCTTAGCCACTGAGCCACCACATCCCTTTTAACTAAATACCTAGTGTCATATAAAGATGTCTGAAAATGTACTTGAAAGACAGCAGGAGGAAAAAACAAAAGGAGAAGGCAAATATCAGATAAAAGGCAGTTTAGTTTACAAGACTATGAGCATGGTAAACATCTGAGAAGGTGGAGGGAGGTGCAGTTTCAGATTTGCAAGATTCTGTTACTATAACTTTACAATATAGATCAGTGTTTTTCAACCACTGTGCCGCAGCACACT